AAAAAAAAAAAAAAAAAAAAAAAGAGGGGGGGATAAATAATCAACAACAAAAACAACAAAACCAACCAAAAAAAGCCCAAACCCATCTGGATCCGATTCCACCCAAATAAATCCCGGCCCCGCAGGCGCGGTGGGGCAGGGGCGGCCGCGCATCCCTGCTGTTGCCCGACGGGGTCCCCGTGGGGCTGGCGAGGAGCTGGGACGGGGAGGCAGAGTGGGGGGCAGCGGTGTAGCGAGCCCTGCGCTGTAGCGGGGAGGAGGGAGGGGGAGTTACGTTTACATTTTTTCATATTTAGCCTTACCGGAAAGATTTCAATGTAGTTTAAATAAATAAAAAAAAGAAATGAAAAAAGGTAATAATTAAAAAAAAAAAAAGGCAAAAGCTGCAGTATTAGAGTTTTAACAAGTGCCTATGTCTCGTTGTGGCGGTGTGAGGTCCCGGGGGGCCCTGCCCCCTCGGGCTTCCTTTTCCTCCGTGGTGAAATGCATCGATGTAGCTAAAAATGACCGCTCCGTCGTTAGCGTTTTGCATCGTTAAGAGAGTGTTTATTTAAAGTCGCCGCCGCGTTAGTTCTCGGGGTCCTGGGCCGTGGAGAAATGTCACCCTCTGCAGGAGGGTCTGGCCCGGCCGCAGCGCTCCCCGTCCCTCCCGTTCGCTCCCCACACGGACCCGTCGCGCCACGCTCCGGAGACACCCCCCACAGCGGTTCCCTCTCCTCCCACACCCCCCCCGTCACCCTCCTCGGCCGTGGGGGAGCCGGGGGGCTCGGTGCTGCCGCCGCTGAGACCGTGTCCCCCAACTCCCCGGCCTGGCACCGCCCGCCCCCTCGGGACGCCCAGCCCGGTTCCCGACCCTTTTTGGGGAGGCATGGCCGGGGATGGAGGGGAGAGAGGGGGCAGCGGGGGACACCTCGCCCCCCCCGGGCTCGGTGGGAGCGGGGCTGAGGGCGCAACCACCGCCGCGGGCGGAGCCGGGGCAAAACCCGACGTGGGGTGGGAGCAGGGAGCGGCGACCCCGACGTGGGGGGGGGAGCCCTGGAGCCGGGCACCGCTGCGCCCCCCGCGGAGCCCTTGGGGGGGGGGGACGGGTCGGTCCGCGTCCTCCGGTCCCGCTTGTCCCTCTGCCCCGCCCGGGGGCCTTCATCATCCTCCCCGCGGCCTTCATCATCCTCCCCGGGGGTGCCAGCCCCACCATGATCCCCCTTCAGCCCCTGGAGCAGAAAAGGGGGAACCCCTAGGGTAATGAGGGAGGTTTTTAGGGTGAGCAGCCGCGGGCTGTGCTCCCCGACACAGGATGGATGAGCTCCAGCTTCGTGGTTTGGATTTTTTTTATTATTTTTTATTTTTTTTATTATTTTTTTCCCAAGCCACGAGCTCGGTGAAGAGGAAGGATAAATATTGCCCGGGGCTCCAGCCCTGCGCGGGAGGAAAGCCAAGCAGGGACTCGCAAAACACGGGTTATTTTCAAAGCAAACAGCGCGGAGGCGCTTCCTGCGCGCAGGCG